AATACGACAAGTTGCGCACGGTCTGCTCACATTCAAATACAGTGCTGCCACAAATGACAGCATGCAACAAAAAAATCTTTCCTTGCAAGGGGCACATTTTCGGCCATAACTCTTGAACGGCTGGTCAGATAGGGACACAGTTTTCAGAGAATTTGCAGCTATTCATGCTCTTTCAACTGACGTAGCACTCAATATGAATTTACAAATTCGATTTTTCAGCGAATTTTTGGGTGATGTGCCCCCTTAAGGGGGCACATCACCCAAAAATTTCATATGGCATTCAATTGACCGTAACTTTGGTGTTTCTCAGTGGATTTGAGTGAAATTTTTGACCACACACTCCTGCCACTATGCTGGCCCTCAGGACATGATTTACAAGTTCTTGCGTCTCACTGACAGGCTTTCCAGGCCGGAAAAACTCAAATTTCCGGCATAGTGCTACGGTGTGCGAGCCACCCAGGAGCCAAACAAATGCATTTACATTTTTTTCACATTTTCGTGCCCATTCTGTCCGTGCGCGGGGACCCAAACCTAAAACAAGTCCAGAAGCAGCCATGGGTGGTGGGGTAGGGCCCCTCAACGTGGCCCTGGAATCTGTCACAACGGAACGAGTGGGCGTTCTTTCACGGACTCCCACAGACCCAAGGCAATTTTTGAATTTTTTTAGGTTTGGCACGTGCTACGAGGTCGTACCTTTGATACAACATCCAGTGCTGGGACCTCCACAGCAAGCCATTTCCACAGCGCTGCAAACCAAATCCAGGATGCCCTCAGAAACCGGCAAAGACTGCCACTCACGTTTCACTACTGCCTAGTACTGAATCCTACCTGACTTCTTGACACGACTCAAACTTGCCAAAGTCACTAAATCAACGTCAACTACAATAATCAAGCCACATATCTGCAACGTCACGAGGGTGCTGGCAAAAGTCCTGCTGCACGGCGGCGGGCTTCGCCCGCCGCCGTGCAGCCCAATACGTGGTTTTTTAACGTGATTTTTTGGACTTTTTGGACTTGGGGCAAAATTCTGCACACTTTCGCGTGTTTCCATAATACGACAAGTTGCGCACGGTCTGCTCACATTCAAATACAGTGCTGCCAACAAATGACAGCATGCAACAAAAAAATCTTTCCTTGCAAGGGCACATTTTCGGCCATAACTCTTGAACGGCTGGTCAGATAGGGACACAGTTTTCAGAGAATTTGCAGCTATTCATGCTCTTTCAACTGACGTAGCACTCAATATGAATTTACAAATTCGATTTTTCAGCGAATTTTTGGGTGATGTGCCCCCTTAAGGGGGCACATCACCCAAAAATTTCATATGGCATTCAATTGACCGTAACTTTGGTGTTTCTCAGTGGATTTGAGTGAAATTTTGACCACACACTCCTGCCACTATGCTGGCCCTCAGGACATGATTTACAAGTTCTTGCGTCTCACTGACAGGCTTTCCAGGCCGGAAAAACTCAAATTTCCGGCATAGTGCTACGGTGTGCGAGCCACCCAGGAGCCAAACAAATGCATTTACATTTTTTTCACATTTTCGTGCCCATTCTGTCCGTGCGCGGGACCCAAACCTAAAACAAGTCCAGAAGCAGCCATGGGTGGTGGGGTAGGGCCCCTCAACGTGGCCCTGGAATCTGTCACAACGGAACGAGTGGGCGTTCTTTCACGGACTCCCACAGACCCAAGGC